GCTCTGTCTTTTGAAGGAGAATCTCCACACTCTCTGAACCTAGAAATGTGAGTTTGCCCAACAAACTACCACCATTTTGGGCCAAACCACAATGGCAACCCAAATAGCAAAGGGCTAAAAAAACCCCACATTCCTAACAATAAATTGAGAAATGGGGTATTTCACAACTGGATGGGATAAGCTGTCTGGCATGCAGAGAGGCACACGAGGATTGGGCATTCATTTTAGGGGGTCCTCCATTATTCCTGAATAATGTAAATTTTAAAAACGTAATTCATCAGGAGCCCATTGAATTACTGCATTTCCTCTCCATCATGGATTTTTAAGATATGCCTATGTTAGGGGAGTTTTACACCTTTATGGCAATTAGATCAAAGCAAGTAACTCCATGCTGTAGTTATCCAGTGCATTTTGCTTTTTTCAGCTAATAAATTGCTGACAAACAGTTTGAGATTTTCACAAAACATATTCACCATTCAGCAAATCATTCTTTCCCCGCAGGACTTGGTGAGCAAACAGCACTGGTTCATGTTCATTGCATGTACAGGTCAGGTGCTGGCATACCTCTTGTCCAACTAAATAAAAGTAACTTGCAATCTGGTTTTTATCACAAATTCTCCAGTATTGCAGTGAAAAATCACTTTCAGGGAACAAAGTCTTATAGTTGCTGATTTATGTCCCAATTCAGCGTGCCCTTATTTATTGTGAGTAGTTCCTTTGACTTTAATAGGACTATTCATGGGCTTAAAGTTAAGCATGTGCTTATATACCTCACTGAACTGAAGGCCCTAATGGAGTTACTATCTGAAACTCCTGGCTGATGAATATGAACTGATCAGCTCAGCCACTAACCCCTCATTTTGCACTTGACAGAGCCCCATCCTATTTTCAAAGGAAGGCTCCTGGAAGATATTCAAAATGGGAGTATTACAGTTTATTCATAAAGGAAGCCTAGATATGAATGCTTTTATCTTTATTTTTTATTTTTTGGCCTGAGTATTTAGCTACTATTCAGGGCCTCATGTTAGCATGAGAACAAATGATAGAGCCAGGTATTTATTTCTTCCATGCAAAGAAAGGTCTACAAAGATTGTACACGCCATCCTGTTTCCCAGGGCCCAGCAGGACTCCAATAACAGGAAGCAGTTCTTTGGTCGCAGTACAGTCCTCTTTCCAGACAACACCTTCCCCCTAAAGCTCCCTATCTTAGCTTTCTCTCAAAGGCACGTTCTTCCTTACTTTCTTGCTCCTCTTTCCTTGGCTTCTTCTGGGAGCTTCTGCTGCTAGTCAAACACAGCCTCACCAAACAGCATCTGCTGCCTGTACAGCTGGCCTTGCTCGCCAGCCTCATTTTGGGTGGTTGGTCCTATCATTTCAGCCACCGTGTTTCAAAAAGGAATGCAAGTGCTACTTACACTCATCCTGAACAAAAGGTGGCTGTCACACTTCACTGAGGTTGCACCCCAAATGCCCTGACCATGACAGCAACTACTAAACTGAGCTTGAAATCAAGAGGTGAAGAGAGAGGGCTGGAAGAAGGGAAGAGCAAAGAAATAGAGCAAAGGGGGAAGGAGGCAAAAAGGATCTCAAGCAAGAGCTGAATCACACACAGCCAAGCTTGTATTGATGTGTCATCCTTAAAACAGTTGAAAGGTACAGTTTGCACCATCTTAATTCCTGTGGTCTGTGAAATCTCCTGATCTCCTTGGAGGAATTGTTACTGGATGACCCAAAATAGTCCAATGGGCCCAATCCTGCCGTGCCTATTTGGAAAGGTAGAATTAGCTGAATAGAAAGAGAGAGCAAGTTGTAGCTTTGGAGCATGTTGCCACTATAATACATACATACAATACTTCACAAAGATGTTTGTTAAACTGTTAAAAACAAAAGGGGGAGCAAAGGGACACCAGGTTTTCTCTAGCCAGGAAGAATACGCCCGGTGGAAGGGGGGTGAAATCTCCAAAGAGGAGTATACCTACTCAGCTCGGGCCTGTAGGCGAGCTGTTAGGAAGGCCAAGGCGGACATGGAGCTCGGACTAGCGTCCAAGATTAAGGATAACAAAAAGTCCTTTTTCAAATACATTGGGAGGATGAAGAAGGTGCCGGGTAATGTGGGACCCCTGCAGGACACGCTGGGCAATTTGGTGGTTGCGTCAGAGGAGAAAGCGGACCTCTTTAACCAATTCTTC